AAAAACTGAGTCTGGCCCTTACCATCTGCGAAAGATTCAAAACCGCATTGCTGTAGCATTATATACTTGGAAATATTTAACCTTTTTTTTAGATTCTCTTGTAGACTCACCTGTTAATTTGCATTTTCGAACTACTGAATCTTTAGCAAGGCCTTTGGTAAAGTATCGCCAAGCTCCAGATCCAACCTGGAAAGGCCCTACACCGCTGATCACCTGGGGGTGCGGTTACACTGCCGTGGAAGATCCTTCTACTAGACAAGCAGTGTGGGTTCCAGCACGCTGTGTTCGTCTGTATCATGGCATGGCATCAGGGCCTTCACAACCTGATTCTGGATTTCAATCTTCATCTGAACACAGAAGTCCGGCTTCCAAGGTCGAAGCACCCGCAATCCATCACTTGGGGCCAGGTTAAATCTACTACATATCAAGCTCAACAACAACTTTAACAGGTCTCATTATCGCAGACTCCTGAAAATCTTGTTGCTGCTGTTTTTGCTATTATTACTGCTAATTCTGTTACAATTTTACTTTGTATTTTCTTGTTTATGGTTAATGGTGTTTCTGCTCAAAATGACACTTCTGTCTTAACCCTAATTTGTGGGTTTGTCATGCACAATATATGTTTATGACCCATGACAAATATTACTTTATACTATGAGCCCCCAATGGCATTTGGTCAAATTTCTTTTACCCCTAACTTGATCGTGTCTTCTACATTTATTGTCTCACAACTACAATCTATTTCACACTCCTGGCTATTTTCTAAACCCCCTATGCAATTTAATTCTGTCCGTTGGTGTTACTTGAAAGTTAGTTACAAGGGGTCTGTGTTTCTGTTGTCATGCTAAACACACTTGGCTTCATAATTGGTCTGATTATGATACTGCTCAGCACATATTAAAAAATCTAGGGAATTATATTTATTGTTCTAACTACTATTGGTTGTCAGGTACCTTTAATTCTTCTTTGTATGAACTTAATATAGCTCCTGATATGTATCCTGACAATTTTCCTATTTTTAATGCCTCTGATCAACTAATATGTGGTTCTTTTTTGATAAATATGCCACCAATGTTCATCCTCAGAATTTTTCATTCTTTGAATAAAACTATTGAGGATGAGCTTGCCAATTTACAACCCTACATTCAAAATAATATCCATGCTCAGTACTCACCTTTTGAGTGGCTAACCAATTGGCTCCCTGATTGGCCTTGGCTCAGACAGTTTTTCTTTATGTTATTATTATTATTGTATTAATTGTAACCTGTTGTTTTATTCAATGTATTCCAAATTTATTTGCATTGTTTCATCCTACTTCCCCCTCTCTTACTCCTTTACAATTGCGATACATTCATAAATCTTTGAATCCTCCATTTAAAATAAAAAACGAGGATATGTAGAGTTGTAATTGCAGGAATGTCTTTATCTTGGATGGCAAACCTCAGAGAAAAGGAATGTTTCCATGCAAATACAACTCAGGCAAACAAAGTTACTCATCTAAAGGAGGATTAGAGAGAGGAAGTAAACATATGTTGGACTTTGACTAGAGATCATTAATTGTGTTAGTTACTATGCTGAACAATAACGAAAGTCAAGCAGAAACCAAAGTTAACCAATGTTGGAGGATAACTAAAAATGTGTATAAATGCAAGACTAGATTCCAATAAAGATCATCATGAATCAGTTGATCATGATCAAACACCTCGACTACCTCATCATTACAACAGATGTGCTTATGGGAAGTGAGCTGGAAGTGTTACAAAACAAAATTGTATAAGTTGCGGGGGGGATTCTTGCTTAGGCTTCTATCCTATGCTATGCACAGCCACAACTCTTTATCAAAATATGTCAAGGTCAATGGACAGAGGCTTCATCACCACCTGGAGATGCCCACATGATGCTACACACAACTTTTAATTGGATGAGCCAATTGAACTATTGGGGGTGGGAACGTTGCCATCACTTTGTATATGTGATTTATGCACTCGTTTTCTCGGATTCAGAATTCTTTTGTTGCTACCACTTGACTTCCAGTAAAAGATATCTTTTCTCTAATTAATGGAGTCTAAGTATTTCTTTCTTGGATTTTGAATGGAGAACCATCTGACAAGTATGGTCAGTTTTGAAAAAATTTCGAGCGGGCGGACTATACGCAAAATTGTCCGTGTGAATTTCATCAAGAGAAGATTGACTATTTAGATTACCGCATATCACATGATGGCATAGAAATGGACCTGGAGAAAGTCCGGGCCATTTTGGAATGGTCTCCTCCTCACAAAGCAATTGCAAAGTTTTCTGGGATTTGCTAATTTTTACCGTCAGTTTATTCCAGCATTTTCAAAGATTGCACTGCCTATTACAAACCTCCTAAAGATGAAGGGAGAGTTGAAACCACAACCCGTTGGAGTGGTCCATGGAATGCCAAGCAGATTTTGAAAAGCTAAAATGACTCTCTGAGCCGAACCGGTGCTAAAACACCCAGAGATGGATGCCCCTTTCGTGATCCAAGCTGATGTAAGTGAGGCAGTCGGGGCAGTGCTACTGCAAGCAAACAAGACTGGAACTTTGAAATCTTGTGCTTACACCTCCCGTAAACTAACTGAGACAGAAAGAAGATGGGCTATTTGGGAAAAGGAAGCTTTTGCTGTCCACTGGGCTTTATTAACCTGGAGGCATTTTCTTGAGGGGCAAAACACCCCTTTGAGGTGTGGACGGATCATAAAAACTTGGAGTATCTAAAAACACCTCAAAAATTGTCACCTAAGCAAGTCTGCTGAGCACAATACGTTACATGGTTTAATTGGGGGGGGATTTTATGGCGTATGCGTTATCTAGGTTACCCCAATATAACAGTATCTGGCCAGAAATGATCTGTCCTATTGTCCCGACTAGGCATTTGGTGGTTCCAATGGTTACCAGAGCCCAGAAAAAGGGAGATGTCAATCTTTCCAAGGACTTGACCACACAGTTAAAGGAAGCTTTAAAACTAGATGATTGGTTTCTGACCCACTCAAATGACTGTATGATTAGAGATGGTCTGACATGGATGGGGGCCAAATTATATGTACCAGCTAACCTGAGAAGGCCCATTTTAAAACAAGCCCACAATTCAAAACCTGCTGGACATTTCAGATTCGTGAAAACCTTACATTTGGTCAAATGGCAATTCTGGTGGCACTATCTGACACCCACCCAGTCACATGACCCAGCCACGCCCACCCAGTCACATGACCACCCAGCCATGCCCACAGAACTGTAAAAAAGTTTGAATCCTACCTCTGATTTTGCCCCAACCACATCAGGAATTTTACACCCTCACTCTTTGTTTCAAGACTCCCATTGCTTTCCTTATGCCCCCTAATACCCCTGATACCACCAACAATAAATTAGTCATACATGCATCCAGAATCTCTCATTGGTAACATACATGTTACTGTACATAAATTCCAGCAATGTGAATTTCCTAGGGAGTTCATGAAAAAGGCTAACTATGGTTGTATAACAGAAGTTCATAAAAAGTTCATATTATACACATTCTATATGTAGGCCTTCTATATTCATAGCTAATATTTGTGATATATTCATAACATATTACATAAAATATATAACAAAATGCCCAATTCCTAGATGTTTCTGTCTCTCTCTTAAGACAGCTTCAACCATCTCAAAGCTTCTTCCAATCTGTCCAGCACATGCCATCTTTTTTTCTACTAGCTGAAGGTAGAGAATAAAAGTAACCAACTTTCCCCCTACAACATGTGGGTGCTTCTAAGACAGGCTTTCTTTGTTAGGTGGCCTTAGGAATGCTAGTTTAATTTAATAAAGAGTTTAGATCATTGTAAAAGTGGGAACTTTCCTGCAAAACCACTGCTAGGTCTTTAATAAGGATAGGAATGGGAACTAATGGGTCTGTGATACTCAGCATTGTTCTGTTATTTACCTAATTGATAGTATACCTTATCACTACAATTCTCACTTAACTCTAAGCTGTATGCAGACTTCAATAATATCAGGATGGCTTTGCTATTCCTCTGTTTTTCTATAAAATTTATCACATTAACGTATTTTCAAAATCAACAAAACAAGATAAATCAGAAATAACTCAAGCATTAGGATGGGGAGGAAAACAAGAAAAGGAACAAAGATGAATACATATTAGAACAATTAAATTTACAATGATATCAAGTTTTTTAAAAATGCAACCACAACCACATGGAGCCACATATGTTTGGAGAAGACCAGATGTTTCAAGAAACAGATGTAAGTCATATAACTAACTATGGCATTTATCTGGCTTGAGTGGCCAAAATTCTTCATGAATCTAGGTGCTAAAAATTGTTAGGATTGTTGTGACAAATCACAAAGTGATGATGAGTAATGATGAGTAATTAGTGCAATTTTCCTTTCACAATATCTGGAGGAGAGTGATAAGTGAGTTAGAGGTCATCCCTCAAAATAGATATACTTTTCTTGCCATGTAAATGCCTTTGTCAACAGTAGCAGACTAAAATATGTGTTACAGGAATAATCCATTCCTTTTGAACTACAGAAGCACAGAAGGTAAAAAGAACAGATTTCACATATTAGGTTGCAAATGGAATGATAAAACTTGCAATTTGTTGGACAGGAACAACCGATCTGTTCAAGCTGCAGGAAAACATTGGCACCTGTAGTTTGAGAGCCACTTGCAATACAGCCTTTGTGGGACATAACAATACTTCCTCAGTAGTTTTATTGTTGTGATGGCTTTAATTTCAAACTCCAAAGAACACTATATACAGTGGAACCATCTTTCAGCTAAATTGCTTTCAACTTCACAAAGCAAATGAAGTGATTCCCCACCACCCCCGCCCTATTCATACAGCTTGCTGTTTACAAACAAAATGCTGTCTAGTGCAAAAAAAAAAAGCCTAGATTGTTGTCAATTCACTTTGTTCCATGAATTCCAACTTCTTCATAAATTTGCATGCCACTTCTCTAAACCAACAGGACCTTCTCACCTTGGGCTGAAGCATGAACCATTCATCAGTTTGTTTTTCAAAGTTCCAGGAGTCCAAGGGAATCTCTACTTCTCCCAGAAAGCTGTTATGCCCAAATCTGTCATAATGCCAGACAGAAAGTTGCAGAGTCCGAGTCTCAAGCTGCGTGTGGCTAATGACATACTGTTGAGTGAGGATAGAAAAGAAGCATATTTTTAAGGAAAATATTTTTAGGAACCAGCAAATGAGAGTATGGAACTTCTAAGTATATCCAAAGGTATTAACAGATAATAAATGATGCAATATTTTCCCTTCCTACTAGTGCAATTCAAATTATGAAGGGGAAATGCATAAAATATAATTATTCTCCAGAAAACTTGTTTACACATGTCTTAAACTATAGTCCTTCCATCTCCTCCTATATGCACATTGATTTTACTCATTAAAATAGATATTACTCATTAAGATAAACATTACTCATAATTAAAATAGAAAGAAAATGAACTGGTGATACTAGATTCTCCAAAAATGATAAAAGTATTTTTATTAAGAAAGTTGTTCTTTAATTCCACAAGCAAATTTCACATTTTTTCTCTTTCTTGAATCATATAATTGAAAAACTTTTTTAAAAAACAAGGTAAATAAATAAATGAGGAGTCCTCGTGCTCTCTGAGCTCAGAGAGCCCCAAGAACTCTTCATTTCAACCCTGAGCTACAAATGTTCTCCTTTAAATAAATAAATGGGAAGCAAATGCCCAGGAAGTGCATGGGAGTGCCAACTTAGTCTACATTAGGCAAGGTCCTCAAACAAATTATAAAGGAACATGTCTGTGAGCACTTGGATTTGCATTCTGCAATTAGCAGGAGCCAGTGTGGTTTTGTTGCAAAGAAATTGTGCCAATGAACCATGTTTCCTTCTTCAATAATAGAACTGCAGCTCAATAGATCTGGAATGTTCTCAGGTTGTCAGCAAAGACTTTGACAGAGTTCCTCATGATACATATTTTTCTTAATAAAGAGACCATCCACAGTTTTTTTGGAATTGGATGACACAAACATTTAAAATAAATAAATAATGGAAAATATGGAGTAGAAGATACTACTATTAGATTGTCTGAACAATCTCATTTCATCTTGGAGAAAAGTATCAAGTGAAATACCACAGTGATTATTTTTCACCATATGCAATTCAAATTGTTCATCAGTGACTGAGATGATGGAACTGTACTGACTGAGATGATGGAACAGGATTTTGTGGATGATACAAATATGGAAGGGTAGATTTTGATGAAACAATAAATTCAAAAATACCTATGCAAAGAGGACTTTGCATAGCCACATGACACATGGATGGGTGATATCGAGGAAGCTCAGGGTTGAAGACTAGAATGGGAAGTTGAAAACATCCCTGAGGAAAGTAAGAGCATATCAAGCACAACCCAAAAACTAGTTGGACATGTCCAGAGAGTCATCAGAAACACAGCTCAACTCAAGGACATATTTACCATGAAGGTACTGTGAAGCATATAATAATTTAAACCAGCCAGCCAGCCAGCCATTAATTTCTTATTTTGACCATAAAGAAAATATTAATAAATATAGTTCCTAGTCCCAGTTCCTACCTTACCTTAAGCATTTCATTGAATTCTGGATCAGTGCTATTAGTTTTGATTTTTGTCTTTCTTTTGCTCTGGCGAGACTTGTCTGGCAGAAGATATGCTTTGACATAACTACAGAATAAATAATAGATGATTTATCAATTTTGCTAAAAGTTACTACATTGGTATACAAACATGTAGATGTCCAAATACAGAAAATTATTATGTATAACACTGTCAAAATTAAATCAGAGACATCAAAAAGGTTATACTTTAGCTTTATTTGCTCTCTCATGTGTTGTGGTACATCATATGTTTTTTGTTTATTTTATGTAGCAAGAGATATATTGGAAATATATACGGTTCAAATAAATATATATTTGTGGGTAGATTATATATATAATGGATGGAACCAGAAGTGGCATTCAGCAGGTTTTGACTAGTTCTGGAGAACTTGTAGCAGAAATTTTGAGCAGTTCAGAGAACAGGCAAATACCACTGCTGACTGGCAACGCTCCCATTTATTCTCTGCCTCCCAAATCCCAGTTGATCAGCTTGTTGTCCCAGTTTGTTGCCCTGCACAGGAGAACGGAGCTGGAAAGCAGGTTAGTGGGATGGGGAAGGAATGGGATTTTATACTATCCATCCCCTGGAGTGGGGTGGGAATGGAGATTTTACAGTATCCTTCCCCTGCCACGCCCACCAAGCCATGCTCACAGAACCAGTAGTAAAAAGAATTTGAATCCCACCACTGGCGGGATTAGGACTTGTGGGAAATTCCTGCCTTACTACTCAGCCTTTTATTCCTTATTCTCATTCCTTCCTACCATTTGTACCTACTTAGGCAGGTACAAGAGGCTTCAGTGTACCCAGAATTACTTTCACTTATAGAAAACAAGGAAGGAAGGAAACAAGAAAACCACAAAATTTTGCTATGAATTTTTCTTTCATTCTCCAGTCTTAGTGCACTGAGAGAAATCTTTTATTGAAGAGCCTTCTATTATTTGCAAGAGAATATGGAAGAAAAGATATAATACTCTCATTTTCCCCATCATTCACTTTTGGGGGCAGGAGAAGGTAGAAAAAATCAGCTTCTTCCTTAAATTGATTGTTTTTACAGTTATAATTGTAGAGAAAAACAAAGGAAGAAAACAATTGCTCCACTCTGGTTCTTTTTTATTGTTACTGAAGCACACTACACATGCCAGAACAAAATTGTAGAGAATTATGGTCAGTTTGTCAGAGTATATTCGTGAACTGGAATAGAGCATGGTAACAAGGTCAGCCAATGAATAGGCATAGCAACTAAGTCAGCCAATGAGGACTGATTGGAAACTGAAACTGGAAGTAGCCTAGGCGTGGCTCTATATTAAGCTCTGCAGTTCTGAAGCTATGTTAAGCTCTAAGTCTATCTATTGAAATGAAACTGCTTCTCTCCTCTGCTGTATATCTTGTTTGCCTGCTGAACTAAAGTGAAACTGATGTCTGTTTCTGAGCACCTGAATTTCTGCTGAAGCTCTGAACTTGTAACATGTCTAATTATGTTTGAGTTTGCTCTATGTTGGAGAAATCTACAACTGGTTTGTAAAATTTACTTCATGTATTTATAAAGAAGTTAAATGAAGCCTCAGCTATCTGTGTTTATTTTTCTGGAGCTAAATTTACGCTGCAAAACTCTGAAAACAGTTGACAATCAGAACTTAAATTTGCATTTTCTAATTGGAAAGTCTTTAGGATAAGAAAAAGGAGGATACTAGCACAAGGCATTTAGCAGTAAACATGGGTTTTTCATTTCACCAAAATTAAGTCTCTTCTCCCAGGTAGTGTAGCACTGAAGTTATCAAACTGGAAAAATATTCATATCAGTTCACCATCTCCAGATTGACTGATTTATTATTAAACTTTTATGCGGCCCATCTCACTGAGCCAATTCTAGATTCTAGATTTCACCAACTGAAGCAACTGCTTCAGCAACTGCTTCTCAAAGTTTTCAAGGATTAAAAATGATATAGCTCTTATCTCATTTAAAGTAAACTTCAATAAGAACATGGGAGAAAGTCACATGTCTTTCACTTTTTGCAAACTCCAAACCAAATTTGAGTGTATGATATTGTACTATACTAAATGGTAGATCTGTGGAAGACAAATCTAAATAGCAAACATAACTAGAATAGTAAATAAATAGAAGGTTAGTAAAAAAAAAAGAGAAAGATTTGCTTACGGATCTGTTCTTTGTTTCTTTTCATCAGCAATGGCCAAGTTCTTGCATTTTTTTACAAGTATGTTAAGACCTCCTGTTTTATAGTTGTAGCTGATTTGCAGACAAATTTCACCACTAATATTCACGTTTCCATAGTCCCCAGTTTCACTGTAAACACTCATCATACTGTTAATGCTGGTCTGAAAAAGAGAGGGTGACAAAATTGGTTGATGGCAAAATTCAATCTCAATAGCCCATTGAAGAAACATACCTATTTTATTTTACTTGTTCAAATAGCTCAAAGTTGTCTTACTCAGTTCTCATGTACATGCACATCTGTAAAATTAAGCTCAGAGATTATCCTAAACTCATCTGGTAAACCCTTGAATGGAGACTTCAGCACCTAGTTTAATATTTTAACTCCAAAATAATTTACTTATGTTTCTCACAGATAATCAGAGTTTGAAGGGACCTTGTAGGTCATCTAGTACAACTCTCTGCCTAAGCAGGAACCTCTCCCACAACTTCTGAAGGCAAGCTGTTCCAGTGGTTGATTGTTCTCACTGTCAGAAAGTTTCTCCTTGTTCCCAGGTTAAATCTCTCCTTGTTCAGTTTCCATCCATTATTCCTTATCTGGCCTACAGGCGCTTTAGAAAACAGCTTGACCCCTTCCTCTCTCTGGCAGCCCCTCAAATATTGGAACACTGCTTTCATGTCTCCCCGATCCTTCTCTTCACTAGACTAGCCATGCCCAGTTCCTGTAACCGTTCTTTCATATGTTTTAGTCTCAAGTCCCCTAATCATCCTGGTTGCTCTTCTCTGCACTTTTTCTAGAGCCTCAACATCTTTTTTATAGTGTGGTGACCAAAACTGGATGCAGTATCCTAGGTGTGGTCTTATGAAGGATTTATAGAGTAGTATTAGTACCTCACCTGATCTTGATTATATTCCTCTATTAATGCAACTTAGGATTGCATTAGCTTTTTTCAGGGGTGGGATTCAAATTTTTTTACTACCGTTCTTTGGGCTAGGTGGTCATGTAACTGGGTGGGGGTGGCCAACTCGACATACGGTGCCTGGCCCCACCTTCTTAACATACCTAAAACACCTCTAATTGTACTACAAATCTCTCTTCAATGGCCACTGTCATCACCATGAAATCTGCAATGCCTCATTTAACTGGCACTTATGACCGATCCTTGCATTTATGCTTGTTGCAGCATTCTTAACAACCATGTCACTAATTTCGCAACTGTGGTGCTTCACTTTACCATGGTGACAAGATAGGTTGTAAAACATAAAATGTGAGGACCAATCATAAGTGCAAGGACCAGTCATAAGTGCAAGGACCGGTCATAATTCACTTTTTTCAGCCCTCTGAGTAGTCCCTATGCACATAGGGACTATGGGGATTATTCAGAGGGCTGAAAAAAGTGAATTATGACAGGTCCTTGCACTTACAACCGGTCCTCAAATTTATGCCCATTGCAGCATCCTCACGCTCACATGCTCAAAATTTGGCTGTTTGGCAATTGGCATGTATTTATCACCCTTGCACTGTCCTGGGGTCGTGTGATTGCCATTTGTGACTGTCCCAGCAGGCTTTCGACAAGCGGGTGAGGGGGCTTTGATCAGGATTCCTTTGGCCTAAATTTATGCATGAGCCTTTCCCCAGAAAAGGCCATATTTTTTAAAAGAATTGCAGACAAATGCATTCCTGTCCACCATAACAAAGCACAGTCCTACACTTATAATTTTTCTGCTTTTTCAAGACAGGGAGATGCACTTCTAAACAAAGCATTGACTGCAGATAGCTCTCTTTTTCACATTGCAGGAAATTTCAGAAATGGCTCAGTGAGTTAACAACTAACTGGCTAATTTTGGGTCAGTCATTCCTTCTCAGCCCAGCCTATCTCACAGGACTGTGGTGGGGAAAATAGGAGGAGAAGGGGGGATATTTGGAATGTTTGCTGCTTTGAATTGATAAAAATAATGATGGAATATAAATAAAGAAATACATGATTTTTCTGTATTGTCGCTATCAGTTCGCCCAAACTGGTCAGAACTGGCAGAATCCCAGCTTTTGTGGCTGCTGCTGCGCACTGCTTGCTCATATTTAGCTGGTTGTCCACTAAGACTCCAAGATCCCTCTCACAGTTTCACCCAGTCTATCTGTATACTTTTGGTTTTTCTTGCCTAAGTATACGGCTTTACTTTTCTCTACACTGAATTTCATTTTGTTAGATATGGCCCAATATTCTAATCTGTCAAGGTCCATCTGGATCTTGAGCCTATCTTCTTGGGTGTAAGCTATTCCTGCCAGCTTAGTATCATCTGCAAATTTGGTAAGTTCCCCTTCTATTCCCTCATCTAAGTCATCAACATTGAAGATTACTGGGCCTAAACGGAACCTTGTGGCACTTGACTGCTTACTTCCCTCCATGTAGACTTAGACCAATTAAGGACTACTCATTGAGTACGGTTTGTCAGCCAGTTGCGAATCCATCTGGCGGTGGTGCTATCTATCCCACTTTTTTCTAGCTTACCAAGAAGTAGGCTGTGGTCTACTTTGTCAAATGTCTTGCTGAAATCTGTATCTTATGTCCACAGCATTTTGCTGGTCTACTAATTTAGTCTATGTTGAAGAATGAAATAAAATTGGTTTGGCATGATCTGTTTTTAACAAACCCATGCTGACTGCTAGTTATTACTTTACTTGTTTCTAGATGTTGGCAGATCTGGGTTTTTTTATTATTATCTTTTCCAGTATCTTCCCGGGTATTGATGTTAGGCTGATTGGTCTATAGTTTCCTGGGTCTATTTTTTTCCCCTTTTTTGTAGATGGGAACCACATCAGCTCTTTTCCAGTCCTCCGGTAGTTTCCTGGTGCTCCATGATTTTTGAAAGATGTGGTGTAGTGGTTCTGAGATGACCTATGCCAGCTTCTTTAAAATTCTGGGATGTAATCCATTAGGTCCTGGTGATTTGTATTCATTAAGATCAGACAGGTGTTCTCTGATTAATTTTTTGCTTATTTTAACTTTTATTTCTAGTCTGTCTTTTAGAATTATGTTTTTGGTAGGTTGGGCTATAATTTCTTTTTGCCTGAAGACTGATGCAAAGAATGAGTTAAGCAGCTCTGCTTTCTCTCTGTTGTCTGTTACTTCCTTGCTGTCTTCTCTCTTTAGTGGACCAACTGTTTCCTTGATTTCTTTCTTGTTATTTATATGGTGGAAGACACTTTATCTTTGACAAGTCTTTGTTCATTCTGAGCCTTTGCTTTCCTGACTTCATCTTTGTAGATTCTAGCTATCTGCTGATAATCTGCATTAGTTGTATGTCCCTCTTTCCATTTTTTGTACTTGTCCTTTTTTTCTTTCAATTGTTCAGAGAGATCTTTGTGGAGCCATGCTCGCTTCTTCTTGGATTTCTTGTTTTTCTTTCTCAGTGGTATTGTGCTGGTCTGGGCTTCTATGATTGTACTTTTCAGAGTTTCCCAAGATTCCTGAGTTGTTGTCCCCTTTAAGATTTTCATCCAAGGAATCTTTCCCAAGTTCTCTCTGAGTTTATTAAAATCAGCTCCTTTAAAATCTGAGTCTGATGTCATTATGTTCTATTGCTTGTGTTTGTGTTATATTGAATTCTAGTATCACATAGCCTCTCTCACCCAAGGTTCCTGCAGTTTCAACTCCCTCTATCACTTCATCCCTGTTTGTAAGAATTAAGTTCAGTATAGCTGTCCCTCTAGTTCCATCCTCTACTTTTGGACAACAAAGTTGCCAGCTATGTTGGTTAGGAACCTATTTGATTTCTCTTTTTCCAATTGATATCAGAGTAATTGAAGTCCCCCATTACTATTGTAGTGTGTTTCTTACATATGTTTGTTAGTTGGTTGGCCAAACAAACATCTATTTTTTCTGCTTGATTGGGTGGCTGATAATATACACCTATGGATATGTCATTCTTTTTTTCCCTTTTATATGGACCTATATGCATTCTAGGTGGTTTTAATCTTTGGTTTCATGCATTTCTGTACCAATACAGTGGTCCTTTCCATACAGTGCAAATCTATCTCCTCTTTTATGGGTTTTTTTAAAACAGTTTATATCCTTCTAATAGTATGTTCCAGTCATGGGTTGCATCCCACCAAGTTTCTGTTATTCCAACTATATCATATCTACCTTCATGTATTAATAGATCAAGTTTACCCTGTTTATTACCCAGACTTTGTGCATTTGTGTATAGACACTTGAGATCTTTATGTTTGACTCTGGGTATGCTTCCTATGTCTCCTATTTGATGTTTGAGTTTGTTTTCCTTCCCATTCCTCTTTACTTCATTATTTGACTTGCTTTCTAGGGGTTTTTGCTTGGAATTAGGTCCTGGAGATCCTAAGATTGGTCACCCTCCCACCTCAATTTTAGTTTAAAGCCCTCCTGATTAGTTGAGCCAGTCATTTTCCAAAAACATTCTTCCCAGTCTTTGTGAGGTGCAAGCCATCCCTTGTCAGAAGCCCATCATGGAGACAGTACACACCATGGTCCAGGAATCCAAAGTTTTTTTGATGACACTAACCCTTTAAGCCAGTGGTTCACTTCTAGTATTCTCTGTTCTCTTACCAGATGTTGTCCTTTCATTGGCAGTATAGATGAAAAACCTACTTGTGCATCTAAGTCCTTGACTTTCTTGCCTAGCTGCTCATAATCACTCAATATTGTTTTCAAGTCCTTTTTTTGTGATTTGTGCCTAGTAGGAAAGGGTAGTAGTCTATGGGCCTAATTATTTTGGTTAGGTTCTCAGCCACATCCTTGAGTTTTGCTCCAGGGAGACAACATAAGTCCCTAGATTACATGTCCAGTCTGCAGAAGGCTGGTTCTGTTCCTTTGAGAATATAATCTTCTATCACCAACACACGTTTTTCTTTTTTTAGGGGGTCTGGATGTTTTTCCATTTATATCAGGTATGTTTGATGTGACTTTAGAGATGTTGGATGGTGCCTCTTTTCTAAGTGTTTGCATGTTTTCTTTGAGGGGGAGGTTGTGAATCTGAGTATTTTCAACTAGGTGGAGAAATGTGTAGCTCAGTTTTAATGGGTCTGGTTCTAATTGGGTTAAACTGGGCAGCAGGGGTTTGTTGGATGTGTGCTGCTTCTTTCTTTGATTATTGTGTTTCCTTCTATGTGTGACATGCCTCCATTTGTCTTCCTCCAATAGTTTATCAGCAGAGTCAAATCCTCTGGGAGTTATCTGTTCATTATTTGGTTCAATTTGGGCATGGCTTTCTTGTGCAGGTTGGAATTTGGCTAGAGCTGCCTCTTGATCCCTTACTTTTTCTTCTAGTAGTTCTACATAGCTTACATTTAATACATGTGTAATTTGGGTGTTCTTTGGGCATAAGCACATACATGGAACATATATTGCATACCACAAAAGTATTAGTCACCTGTTCCATGAGTTTGTTTCTTTTTGCTGATTCTTTTAAGGGTATAGAGTTTTGTATCTTCTTTTTCCTATCCTTTCCCCCCACTTTTTTTCTGCCAACATCGCTGACTGCGTTCTCCCCTTCCTAGTCACTCCTTTAGGTATTTCTTCCCCCCCTCCCAACGATTAGCTGTTCTGATGATCAGCTGTGCTGGAATCCCCCTCACTGTCTTACTGCTTCACCCAGGAGGCTTTCCTGAGGCCAGGAGGCAAAAAGGGGGTGCAGGGGGGCTTCCCCCCGTGCTCTTTTTTTTTGCCTCCCTGGGTCCCAGGGAAGCCTTCAGGGAGCAAAAACAGCCCCCTAGAAGGCTTCCCTGGGGGTGTTGCATAGAAGAAGAAGAAGAAGAAGAAGAAGAAGAAGAAGAAGAAGAAGAAGAAGAAGAAGAAGAAGAAGAAGAAGAAGAAGAAGAAGAGGAGGAGGAGGAGGAGGAGGAGGAGGAGGAGGAGGAGGAGGAGGAGGAGGAGGGGGGGGAGGGGGGGGGGGAGGAGGGGGAGGAGGAGGAGGAGGAGGAGGAGGAGGAGGAGCTCACCCAGACCCATGGCCACCCCCACCTAGCCACCCCCACAAAACCAGTTGCTAAAAAATTTGAATCCCACCCCAGCCACATATCACAAGTGTCCTGCCATTCCAAAATGTAGGATATAGAATAATGGACTTAAGTGATAGGAACACAGATTTTGGTTGCATAATAGGAGAGGGGGAAAGCTTATAGTTTGATATTATTCAAAGAGTTAGTTGGATCCCCTTCATTGAATGTTTTCACACAAAGGCTAGACAGCCTTGATGCTTTCATTCAATGAATAAGAGGTTGAACCTGAAAGCCTAAATGGTCCATTACAATCTATGATTCTATGTTATCCTCCATTCAAATAATCTGAATGGATAGAAAAATTACTTCTCCATATATAGCCATGTAATGTAGATACTGATGAGTTAATATGAAATCCTTGCATCTACCTCTGTTCATCTTTTGGCTGTATTGTTCAAATTATTAAAAGGGATTGATTGTTTTAAATTTCTCCATATTTAAAAAGATTCTATTACAAAATAGCAATTCTCACTTTTAAGGAAATGATGCTGTTATTGTTAGCCAGTGACTTAATGGAGGAATTATTATCAATTAAAAAATATTTATTTTTGCTATTTATATATGTAGAAATGAAACAGGAACAGAGATGAGCTCTTGCATGTGTCAGAAAAGTGAGAGAACTTACAGTATCACCATCTGCTTCTGGAACATTTAAATAGTTCCATTTCCTCTCAGAATTTGAAGGAGAATTCTTTATGCGGGAGGCAAAAGGCAGAGGAAAGAAGAACATTATGTAGTACCAATAGGTGAAAATGGATAAAGAAAAGACACGTAGAAATACAACAACCAACCATTGTATGGAAAAAAGTGATCAGTAAATAACTCACATTTACAGACATAGACATACGAGAAATTACGTTATCTCTCCAATGATGAATTTAACCTTAGGCTGAGCACTCATTTTCGTTTTGTGATATTATAGAAATATTTGGATAAAAACATTTTGTTATCACAAGGCAGATTTCTATCTGCTTACATACAAGCACTTTGTAGTTAATGTATTTTAATCAATCATTTAAAATCCCTTAGAATACAAGATACTTAAATGCCATAATTGCTATAGCAATTAAACTACCTGCTCGTTGCCAACAAATAATTTACTTGCAAAGCATCAAGTGAAATTATCCACAGTTTGATGTAATAGTTAAGGTACTTGACTGGAAGGCGGGGAATTGAATTTTAGTCTCCAGAAGCATGAAAACTAGCTATGTGACTTCAGACTGGACTTTCTCAGTCTAACCAACTTCATAGGTGGCTATTGTGAGGGAAAGAGGAAGCAGGAGAACTATATACACTGCTTTGAGTTTTACAAAATAAAGGAGATATATTTATGTAATAATAATGACAATGACCATAATAGTGCTACCTTAAATGTTAAACTATTATTTGCTTTAATATGTGAAATGTACAATCTTCTTTCTAGCACAAAAGGAAAATAATGATTGGGTCCTGCTTTCATCACCTTGATGAACTAATGCCTTCCTGAAATATTGGACTAATTCTTCAATAACATAACTGAAACATCTTGTAATCCCTGTCAGCTTTGGAAGCCATACTGAGACCAGATGCTCCCACACTGCCACATTTTGAGTCTAGGAAAATAGGAGGGAGGAATTTCTTGGAGTATATGTAGTTAGACATAATAACATTATTTTTCTAATTCAAGGTCATGTTAGTTTGCGCATAAGAGAGGGGAAGTCTCAAGTTGGGACAGATGGTAATTGGGGCATGTGATGTGATGATGGGTGCACGGGTTGGATTTGTAGTTTTTATTTATTGCAAGGAAGCCCAGAATGTTCAGATTCGGGATTCCCTAGTTGTGCCATCGAATTAGAATCTGGGGCAAAACTGCCCAAACCAAAAAGGTGTTCCATGACACCAGCTGAGATGACTGAGTTGAGGAAGTACATTGATACCAATTTAGCCAGAGGCTTCATTGAACCAGCAAAATCTACGTTGGCAGCCCCAGTACTATTTAAAGAAAAGAAAGATGGCGACTTGAGATTATGTGTTGACTTTAGGGGCATCAATGGTGCATGCATAAAAAACAATGTATCTCCTCCCCCAATGAAGGACTTGCTAAATCACCTGTCTAAAGGCAAAATCTTTACCAAGCTAGATCTGAGAGAGGTCTACTACTGAGTCCACATAAAGGAGAGAGACAAGTGGAAAACGGCCTTCAACTGCCTTCTGGGAAGTTTCCAGTTCTGAGTCATGCCTTTCGGACTCCAAGCCCCCACCCTGCTGTATTTATGCAACTAGTCAAAGAAGTGTTACATACACATCTGTTCAAGGGGGTCCTTGTGTACTTGGGCAACATTCTTATATTCAGTGAAACCATAGAAGAACATGTCAAATTAGTCAGGCAAGTACTGAAAAAACTTTTAGCCACCAAATTATATGCAAATCTGTCAAAATGCAAATTCCATAAAAGTCTTTGGACTACCTGAGCTACCGAGTGTCAAATCAGGGGATTGAAATAGACCCTGGAAAGGTGAAGGCAGTGCTAGACTGGCAGCCACCAAAACATGCATACAACTTCAAAGCTTCCTGGGTTTTGCAAATTTTTATAGACAATTTATCCCTTCATTTGCTGAGGTCACCCTCTCTTTAACAGAGTTACTAAAAACTGGGCCTTCCCCGACCAAACCAAAACCCAATCAACCTCTCACTTGGACAATGAATCAGAAATCTTTGGAGACATTAAAATGCCTTTTTTGCCATGGAGCCTATCCTCCAACATCTGGACCCGACCAAACCTTTTGTAATCCAAGCCAATGCCAGTGGTATGGCTGTCACAGTGATTCTACTTCAAAAGAATTCTCAAGACCAGCTGATGCCTTGAGCTTATGTGTCAAAAAAGTTGACAGACACAGAGCATAGGTGGGCAGTTTGGAAAAAAGAGGCATTTGCTATGTGATGGGCTTTACTACCTTGGAGGCATTTCCTGGAAAGAGTAAAGGAGCCTTTCAAGGTGTGGACTGATCATAAAAACCTTGAGGCTCTGAAGATCCCTCGGAAGCTTTCTCCTAAACAAGTCGATACTTCAAGAGATTCAACTTTAACATGAAAATATATTACTTGTTTAGGAGAAAGATTCTGAGAGTTTTTTTCCAAGGGTGGGGGGGAACGTATTGGCAGATTCCTTGTCGAGAAAACCCCAATTTGACAGTCATCGGTAGTAGTGCAAATTATGATATCAGAAGCCCAACCCGTCGGCCAAGCAACCAGTAGAGTCCAAGCCAAACACAGCCTTAGGTTTCTAGAGGACAAACTGACAACCAATTTGAAAGCAGCACTTTTACCTCTAGCAGAAGCAACTGAGGAATATAAACATAGGCAGACAAACATAGATGTCTCCAACCACCTTTTAAAGTAGGGGACAAAGTGTTTTTGTCAACTAAATCTTAAGTTGAAACTTCCTAGTAGAAAGTTGGGACCAAAATTACTGAGTCCATTCCCTATATCGAAAGTAATCAATCCAGTGACTGTCCAATTTAGTCTCCCTCAGCTTTTAGGAAAAATACACCCAGTATTCCATAGTAGCTTGTTGAAGCTTGCTATTGGTTCCAATCTACAGCCTGTACCAGCAGCTTCCCCCAAACCTCTGGTAGTACAGGGTGAAACACATTCTGAGATAAAGAAAATTATTGATTCTAGATTACACGGAGAACGATTACAATATTTAGTGCTATGGAAAGGCTACCCTTTGTCAGAAGCTACTTGGGTGAAAAGTTGGGATATACATGATTAGACAATTTCATGAACAATTCCCTGACAAGCCAAAGGGTCCCCTTGACCCTTGGCGAAAGGGTCCCCTTGGAGAGGGGGTTAAGGGCAATGTGTTAACACCTTGTTGTGTTTTGTTTATTGTATTTTTCAGGATGTGATTTTTTTCAAGGGGTGATGCCTATCAGCTTTGGAAGCCATACTGAGACCAGATGCTCCCACACTGCCAAATTTTAAGCCTGGGAAAATGGGAGGGAGGAATTTCTTGGAGTATATGTAATTAGACATAACAACATTCTTTTTCTAATTCAAGGTCATGTTAGTTTGCAAGTAAGTGAGGGGAAGTCTCAAGTTGGGATGGATGGTGATTGGGGCATGTGATGTGATGATGGGTGCAGGTGATTTGTAGTTTTTACTTATTGCAAGGGAGCCCGGAACTTTCAGATTCAGGATTCCCCAGTTGTTACTATCCAAATAAAAAAAGAACTTTTGAGATGTCTGTCTCGGAGTTATTTGTTGGAGTGGAGGTTTTCTGGAATGCTGACACCCCAGTTATAAATAAAGAAGCAAAAAGTAGTTACAATATATTTGTAACTATTGGCTGTATCCTTGCATCCAATCAAACTAAGTGCAGTAAGCATAATAGTTGCATCAGCTGCCCTGGTTAAGCTGCCAACATTCTATGTTTGTTAGAAGCTAGCAAAACCTACAATCATTCATGCTTTTGTTGAACAAAAATTAAAGTCTCTAAAATCTACATAATGGCAATGGAATTTAATCTACTCTAAAACAAAAGACCTGAAGCTAAAAATCAGCTGTGAATGAAACACAACAGAATCAAATAGGTATATGGTCCAAGTATCAAAAATAATATGCTGTAGGAAAAAACAGTACAAGAAAGGCATGCATATGATTTAATGAGTACTTACTGTGGAAATTCCACTTGCCAAATTACTTTGCCTTTTTGAAAAGCCAGAGGCTATAATGTCATCCATATCCTCTTCTGCTTCATTCAGGTAGTCCTAACAGAAAAGCAAAGCATATATCCACAGTTAAGGAATAAAATGATATTTTATTAGGAAGAAATGAGTGGAGGACTAAACACTGTTGCTTCTTAAATAAAACCATTTACCTTAGCTTCAGTATCTCATCCTGTTTCACTTTTTGTCTTTAATAGCAATTTAGTGTCTGAAATATCTTCAGTTATTATGAACATCTAGCCTGCCATACTTAACAATAACAACTGAAACTCTACCTTACAAATTATACCTAAAAAGGTTTCATTACACAGAGTTATTCAAACTGTGTCCAGGGGTGGTATTCTACCAGTTCACACCAGTTTGGTTATTACTACCATTCTCGGTAGTCCAGAGAACTGGTAAAACACGCCCCTGGCTGGCCCCGCCCCTCTCTGCCCGCTCCTCCATTCCCTGCCCAGTAAGTCCTTATTGCACATGTGCAACGTCATGTGCATGCGCGACAATTGCTGACAGCATTCTCCCCCTGCCCACCCTGCCCAGTCACTCCTTATAGCACATGTGTGCTACGTTGCTTCCCACATTTTCCCACCCGCCGCCATAGCTTCCAACAGCAGCAGCCATCCAGCCATCGCTACCTACCTTCCACCTTCTGATCTCCCTAGGTGAGTGAGGCTCTGCAAACCTACATGCTGGTCACCTACATGCTGCTGCTGCCACCAGCCCTGGTTGAGTCCTGACTCCCATCCCGGCCTAGGTTGTCACTGCCATGCTGCCGCTGCCCTCAATGCTCGTGTCTAGCAAGCTTCCCCCCACCCCACTTGCCTGGCTTGTTGGTGGCTGAGAGTAAGGCAAGCCAGGGCTGACCCGTCACCGCTTGGGTCTCGCCTGGATTCTCCACAGCTGCTGGGCCTTGCCTGCTAGGGGCGGATGGGGGAGACCAGGGAGCATGAACTCACACATCGCCCCTTTCCTGCTGCCCATTCCCTCTGCTGCCCGCTGGCCTGTGCGCTTTGGCTGAATGCGGGCCGCCACTGTGAGAATGATGCAAGTCAACCCTCATGAGAGTGGATCTTCCAGCCCATGGAGCTTGCATAGCGGTGGCCTGCACTTGGCTAAAACACTCGGCCTGAGGGAGGGGTGGCTGGCAGAGGGGTGATGTGGGCAGCATAAGCCTTGTGCTTCCTGGTTGCCTCCCGCATTCCTCCAGCAGCCGTGAGCCCCAGTAGCTGTGGAGAATCCAAGCAGGGAATGAGATGCAGGCTGGCAGGGAGCCGAGTGGCTCTGCCCTGGCTGGCTCACCTTTCCCTCTGCCACCAGCCGCAGGAGGAAGGTAAGTTTTGCAGCCTAGCCCAGAGCTACTGGAGGGATGGGCCCTTGAAGTTTCCAGCCCTTTCCTTTCCCCAAAACAGGGAGGGGAAGGAGTCCTGCCCGCAGCTCCTTTGTTTGATCTGAAACCTTGCCTGCCAGCTTTTCCAGTCAACGCAGGACCGGGACAATCACACCCAGTCCCTGGGACTCTGGGAGACTGGCCAGGAAGTAAGTTAACGAGCATGTTGGAAGGGTGTGTGTGTGTGTGTGTGTGTGTGTGTGTTTCAGGTGGGTCTCCTAGATTTAGAAGGAGGGAGGGAAGGAGAAAGGGGAGAGGGGGGGAAAGACAGAGAAAGAGAGTGAGGGAGAGAAAGAGAGAAAGAGAGAGAAAAAGAAAGAGAGAGAGGGGGAAGAGAGAGGGAAAGAGAGAAAGAGAGGGAAAGAGAGAAAGAGGGAAAGAGAGAGAAAGAGAGAGGGAAGGAGAGAAAGAGAGGGAAAGAGAGGGGGAGAGAGAGAAAGAGGGAAAGAGAAAGAGTGAGAGGGAGAGAAAGGGAAAGAGAAGGAAGAGGCAAGAAAGAAAAGGGAAAGAAAAAATGGAAAGAGGAAGGAAGAAAAAGGATAGACAGAGAAAGAGGGGGGTGGAAGGAAGGGAAAGAAAGAAAGAAAGAAAGAAAGAAAGAAAGAAAGAAAGAAAGAA